AAGGGAATTGTATCATCACCTCACCCTAGTTGGAGTTGGGGGAGAGATGACCCAAAAGGTTAGAGCGCGAATTTACTGACCGGAAGGTTCGTGATTCGAACCGTCCCCTCTGTGCCTCTCGACTTCCTCTGTCTAGGCTTGGGCAACCTGGCAGTATCCCAGCCCTCGTGCCTCCTTCGTGTGGCATGGCAGCTAGGTACGGAAAGGGAGCTACAACTGGACGATTTATTTTATTTTATTATCTAACCGTCACAAACGCAAACATGAGTGTGATCTCCTAGCGATAGCAGCTGGGTAAGAGCGGGGCTGTGTGGAAACCAAACTGACTTTTGAATGGTAGCGTAGAATGTGATATAAATGTAGAAACTTCGTGGATGTGTAATGAGGCAGCATACCTTAGATACTTTATCTGGTTTAAACGCATCGGGTTGCCGAATTACGTCACCAACAAAACTAAAACCAATGCTAGCCAGTAAAAACGATCGACTTACGGGCCGAATGCGTCGAAGCACCTTCCGAGGCCCCGTCAACTGCTCGTTCTAATCCTGTATGAAGTGTATCCAAAGGTAATGGCTTATCGAACTCGGTTCCGTCTGCAATCTCACGAAGCCAATCTGGTTCATCCAAACCGAAATTGGCAAATCTGGACGAGTAGGGCAGACGAGGTCCGGCATAGGGCGGCCACGAAAGGCGACGGTCACCTTTCTGCGTGAATTCGACGGATACAGATCCCATCTGAAACAAAAAAAAACACGGCCACTGTGATAAGAGGGCAGAGTTTTGGTCGCCACCCCCACTTAACATTCATATAAAAGATTCCGATGCAGTACACCATAAACATGATTCTATCTTGTCTTGGTCGGAATTTCGCACCTTGAGCATGTTGATTCTTATGAATGCTGAAAAATGACGCCAAGTTTTGACAGTGAATTGATAGTACAAAGACAAGAGTTCATACTATTATTTTGCGGTAATTTAGATTCCTCATCACTCGACGGTACTGAACGAATTTTGGAGTTCAGCCTCGACACTAATGCTATGGGCAGATGGAAATGTTTGATTTCATCAGTTCGTCCATGTTCGCCTACTCCCTACTTGGTTGGGGCTGTCTCTACGCGTTTTTGGTGTGCGAGCAATGAGATCATTAACAATTTGGTCTGGATTTCTTTCGGTTCCCAGACAGCACAACGGCAATTTTGATCTCTAGTTAGCTTAGCGGCTAAGACGCACGGCTACTGACCAGGAGTCAAGCCTAGTTTGGGGAAGAGGCCGTGGTGGTGCAGTGTATCGGCAATTTTTACGACATCAGCTGTTTGCGTGACACAGGAATTTTGATTTGGTGCTCCTTCTTCGGGAATGGATCAATCATTTCAGAAACCAGAAAGTGCAACATCTCGGCTCTAGATGGAGAGAGAAATTACACCGAAGAAATGACCCGCACAGCCGAAATGGTCCCATCAACCGGAGAGAGTTGTGCATCCAGCGATGACAATCCAGAAAGTTCTAGTTTCCAATCGGGGGAATCTGAATTGGTACCATCAAGTATTTGTGAAGTCATCAGGTTCATGAGATCCCCTAATTTATGAACAATATGGACATCATTCAGCAAAGTGGCTGATATGGAAGCTGTCTAGAAGTCTCTCCTTTCCACACAACCATACTGAATGACCATATAATGACCTCCTGAAGTGGTATTTGGGTTGTATTTCACTGAATGTGTGCAGTGTGCGAATATCTACGTCCGGGACCACTGAACTATATGAGGATATGGTAGGCACGGCATACGCTTGTCAATGAAAGACGCACCTGTCTGACTTCGTATGGAGTGAAGTCATCGCGGAACTCTTGAAGGCTTGGGTCGCCCAGTGGCACCAATAGCGATAAGTCCATAAATCGCTGACAAATCGGGCGGGCCATTTCTCTGAAGTGGGAAAAAGCGAAGTAACCAAGTTATAACTTCACCTTCATTATTCCAGGCAAGTGGCGAAACAATATAATAAATAATAATAAACGTTCAGTTGTGATACATTTTCGGTGCCCAACCCCAGCGAAAAGCCGGAATCGGGTTCAGACGACGAAACCTTCGATCACTGGCTTTGCGTCCTAATCGCTGAGCTCTAGGAAGCTCGACGAAATCACACGGCCGTGGAGGAAAGAGAGTAAGCAAACGTGTAGCCTTTACTGCTATTTTATGCGCAATTTTATCCCCCACCCCCACCCCCCGATGTACCATCAGGTAATCACACGCTTAAACCAAAACTAGTCTACCATGAAGTAAAAAAATTGTTCAGCTGCATCACCCTTTCGGTGCCCAACTGCCATGCCACCCGAAAGTTGCACGAGGGCTGGGATACTACCAGGTTGCCCAAGCCTAGACAAGGGAGTCGAGAGGCAGAGGTCGGGTTCGAACCACGACCCTCCGGTCAGTAAGTTCGCGCTCTAACTGCTTGCGCCATCTCGCCCTCTACCATGAAGTCCCCGAAGGAAATGAACAATTTTAGCACCTGTCCTCTCGTGGGAACTTCGGGCAAATCAAGAATGGTCAGTAGTCAGATAACTAAAACGTTAATCACTACAACCGGTTGGCAAGCGAGTTCTATCAATTTTGTTCAAGTTGTACAAAGATTGTAAAAGGCGTGGGGAAAATTAAACACCTGTGATGAAATGCATCTACTGAGCCGACCAAAAGTAGATTACAAAGGTTTCGATGTGCCCCAATGCGCGTCACCATGGTAACGATATGCAACATAAGATAGCAGGGATCCAAATCAGGTGACCAACTATGAAGACGCGTTACTATGTGACAAGCTTGGGGGGTCCAGCGGTAGGACACAAAAATCACTCAAGAGATTAATACGCAGAGACAAGGTGCGTAGTATTTCTTGTAAACCGGCTTTTTTCGCAGGACCGGGTCGCAGTCGACAATGAACGCTGATGCAAACTCTCCAAGAAGATCGCTTTTTTTCGATAAAGTGTGTCCTAGGAATACCGCACCTGAACAATATACGCTCTAAAATTGTTCTGCAGAAAGTTTTGTGCAAAACCTGCGCACACATGTAAAGCAAAAAAACTTAGAAATACCTGCACCGCTGTACTTCCGGCACATTTGATGCTAACCAATAGACCAAACTGAGTCCGGAAATGCAGTAGATTGTCTTGTCATTGTGAACCACTGTAACCAGTTGCAGTATTCTTGGATTCAATCCCAGGCCTGTCAGCTCGAAGGACTCCGCGTCCAGTCTTCCGTCCTTGTGCGCTGTTGACTGCTGGGGTGGTGGCAATACTGGATTGTCCACACGATGAGCCAAATAGGTGCCCAGCATCCGCGACCACAGGTCACGAATGTAAACTTCATCTAGGCTGTCGTGACTGTGGGACGCATCACCACAGACGCTCTGTGGAAGATCGCCCAATGATGTCATTACCGAAGCATCAGATGTGGCTCGCCCGCAGGGGCCGGTAAGTTGGTGTGGTGTGTTGGACAGTGTGCTGGAACCAACGACTGATGGTCGTGAACGAGCACTCTGAACTCTATTGATTCGGCCCCCAACGGATCCACTGGACATGGTTGGGACTGGGGCGGACTGTTTTCTGAGTCCAGCGGGCGAAAGCAACCTCCCGAAGCCAAGCAAATCCTCAGTATTTGGAGTTAACTGGGTCCCTGTGGAACAATCAAGAGTCGCGTTGAGCTGCTCGTCAACAGTTGCTCGACAGAGTGTGGCATCCGCGGACAATGGGCTTGATGTTGAATTGTCATGGACGGCAGAAACGGAAACAGTACCAGCGCAAGCTTCGATTGCCCGTGGGGACCAACTGACGTGTTTTGCGGATCCAACACGAGACAGAGTCAGTGAGGATGTTGAGGGAAGAGCACGCGCACAGTAACTGCACACGCGCTGCAGACCTGACATACCAATCTGATGGCCTTCAACAAACTGCAAGTAAGAGAGGAAAGTACAGTCTTATGTGAATGTGATCATCCAGTTGGAACACTCCTACGGTGCTAGATGCCAGGCCACCTGAGAGTAGCATGAGGCCTGAGGTAGTGCAAGGTTGCCCAAACCTAAACAGGAGCAACCGAGAGGCTGAGCTCGAATTCAAGCCACGGACCTTCAGACTAGGAGGCTCACGCCTTAATACCTGAGACCTCTGGTGCTTGGTGAGTGAGTGAGTGAGTGAGTGAGTGAGTGAGTGAGTGAGTGAGTGAGTGAGTGAGTGAGTGAGTGAGTGAGTGAGTGAGTGAGTGACCGTTGTACAAACGGAATTATCATTGACTAGTCATAGCCATACATGCACGTCTTACGGGTGGTACAGGTCACTAGGTGGTTTACTCGCCTCTATATAACTTGACAAGCATTAGTCACCAGCTAGGTCTACACATAACTTTAGAATCATCCCACTCAGTAACCCTCCGGCGTCGTTCCTCGAGTTCAAACCAAATACGGGGATTTCGACT